CAAAAAAAAAAAAAAAAAAAAAAAGTGAGTTGGGCTTTTAAGATTTAATGAAAATTGAGCAGAGTTGAGACTGGATTAACTCCGGGCACATGGGATATGTAGACGTTGGTAGACGAGAAGGAACGACTGACTGAAAGAAACGCGGAGGGAGTAGTATAAGAAAGACTTAATCCAGACTTTGGGGAGTGAACTGATTGGTGTTAAACAACAAAAACCACCACCACAAGTTAAAGATGGGTTCAGGATGCCAAGTCTAGAGACCAGGAATTGACATACAACTTCCCCTAAAATCAGCGGTCCAGAATATGTAATAACAGCTTTGAGGAACTGTGAAATACAAACAGCTCTCTGCAGACACACAGCTGCTAGGAAACAAAGCAAAGCAATTTCACTGAGCAGATTAGTTCCATATCCTAGTCCCACAGAAAGAAGAATTCAGGTACCAGACAAAGGGTGCAATTTCCAGTGACAACGTGTCAGGCCTAATGTTAATGAGCCTCAAAATATACCAGAAGTTCTCTCGTGACCTCTAGTGGTTACAACTAAAATTGCCTGGTCTATGACACGTGAGACTGCGCCACCAAGCAATTACCGATATGGGGTTTGGTCTATTATTTTCTTATCTTGAAACCTGTTAAGTTGGAGTAAAAGAAAACCTAGCCAATGACTGTCATAAAAAGTTCCCTTCCCTGATTTTTAAGCATTGACCGAAGAGCTATTTTTCTGTGGCTTGTTTTTGCAGCTTCTTCCAACACCACCAGGGAGGTGTCTGTCTCTCTCCAGTGACTTCCAAAGGAAGAGTTACCAACCCACTATGCGCCCAAGGATGCAGGAGAAAGCTGACGACGGAGAAGGTGAACCAGTAGCTAGAGAGGGGAAATGGCCGATGGAAAGAGATGGGCAGGAAAAAGTGGGAGGCAGGTACTGCAAACTCATATAAGCCAATCTGGTCTTGCACAAGTCTCAAGTACTTACTTTTTGGTAGCTGCCGAAGAAGTTCAAAATCCCCCCAACCTCACCATCAGGTTGTAGTGAAAACCACTCACACCAGGTGATGCCACACTTAGAGTTTTACTAAGCAAACCTTAGCAAATGAGCCCAAACCAGTGCTCACGGTCTCTTCTGCAGGCTTAAGTCCCAGCTCCCTGTCCTTTGGGTGAAAGGTTCACTCAATTGAGCAAAGACAAGAAACAGTACAAGTTCCAGAAACAGGACTCTATCATTACCTTTGTTGTTGACCTCAGGCTACCAGAAATCCCCAGCCTGACAAAGCTGTTTACTTGGGGATGAAGCTGGGAAGCCATCCTTTCAAGCACCTGCTAGCAGCCGGGCTGGGTTCTTCAACCGTGTCCAGGCACGCTGCAGGGCTCTCTGGAATATTTTGGTCTGTCCCACATCTTTAATTTCACCAGAGAGTCTCCATTTCTAACATCCATCTGACAAGTTAACCAGCCACTGGTTGCTCTGATAATAACGAAGGTTGGATATTTGCTATGTTAGTTAGCAAAGTATCTGGTGACAGCGGAGACTGTGATCTTTCCAATACGTGCTAGCTAACCACCCCTACCCCTGGTATTTCAACTCACCCCTTCAAATGTCACACCGTCTTTGCTGGAGGATTTAAAAGCAAATTGTGGACATAACAGAAGAAGTGTCAGGACAAGAACAAGGATACATTGGTCCTCAGGGACCACTGCTGTGCAAGTCTTGCCTTTGCTCCTCAGTGTTGCTACTGTGGTTACTTCTCAGATATTTTTCAGATACATGCATTCATGTAACCAATATTTATGGAGTGCCTACCTGTGTACCAGATAGCTACTTGATACATCGTCTGTCTGATAGTTCCGAGGAGGGAATACTAAGGGAATTAAAATACTAAGGGAATGTGAAACATTCTCTGGCTGAAGCTATTTACATGTTTTTGCAAAAACTACACATCCCACTGAGGAATGAAGATGTTAAAGCTCCAGCGATTCTATGTCACCCTCAAGGAAAAAGCAGCAGAAGAGTCTGTTTATAAACCCTCGAATATCAATGGCTTTGTTTCTTCCTAGGGAAAAAAAAACCCTTGAAGGTTATACAAGCACTTTACTACATTTTATTTTCTTTAGGGAACCAATGATAATCACATCAATAAGCTACATTTACCTTAATTGTGATTTAGTGCATCGTAGAAGTATCGCGAATAAGAAGTCTTGACGTTGCTTGTTAGTCCAGAGGTCAAACCAATGACTTATAAGAGCAACTCTTTCCCGAAAGAGCTATAAAGGGGGGTAAATGGCATTTTACTGTATAGTTTCATACAGTCTGAGTTGCTAAGCAATCCTTAGGCAATCTAGCTACCTCACGCTCATATTTGCATAGCATTTACAGTCCACAAAGCTCTTTCCACGCGCAGTGGAGGCCTCTCCCTTCAGAGTGACCTGCTTTTATCCAGGGTACAGACAAGCCTAGGCTTGTTGGGTGGGCTGGTGGGAGAGGCTGGTGGAGATACAATTACAGAGGGGCCCAAGGAGGCCTCTTTCAGAACAAAGAGGTAAAGAACCCTGGCTCTTGTTTCCACCTTGGCTAAGGTGGCCTGGGGAAACAGATTCCAAATATTTTATCTGGAAAACACAAACAGGCTACCCTTGTTGAACTGGGAAAACAAGGCCCTTCGAAGTAGGTATGATTTCACTAACCCACAGTCCTGTATCTTCAGAGCACCCACCAAAATGAAAGTTAATAAATCTTGCTACAGAGCCATTGTTAGACATCTCCAGGAAAGACATATACCAAGAGCCAGTATCCCCCCCAAACCTGGTTTCAGACCGACTTTGCTGAGATGCCATATACAAGCTCACTGGCTTATTACTCAGTCGGGCCTGGGGTCCAGCCCAGATGGGCTCCTTCCCTTGTGAACGGGCCTGAGCCTCGCAGGAGCTCTGAGGGCCCAGCCAGCCATCTCCACTAAGGTCTGACAGAGCCGTCCAAGGACTACATCCTGCGCTACCTTTCAGAGGGGACATCCCCAGGCCATGGAACCACACAGTTGGCACAGGAGGGAAGAGAGGATTAAAGAAACAGAGAGAAATACACAGGGGCGGGGTAAATTACCAGCCGCCATTACCTAAAAGATAAATTTTAAGTAAGGATACAAAATAACAACAACAATAATAATACAAATAAATAATATAATAATTAATAAATAAATAATACAAGAATAAACTCTGTGTTTCATGAACTCACAACTATAAACCTACTTTTTAAAAATCATCATCCAAGGATATATTTCTATTGATTTCAGAGAGAGAGGAAGGGGGAGAGAGAGAGAGAGAAACATCGATGTGAGAGAGAAACATGGATTGGTTGCCTCCCGTAGGCGCCCCAACCAGGGACTGAACCCACAACCTGGGTATGTGCCCTGACCGGGAATGGAACCTGCAGCCTTTCTGATGCACATGGCAACTCTCCAACCAACTGAGCCACCCGGCCAGCGCTATAAACCTACTTTTGCCCACCCCTTGTACATTAACACTCTCCACACCACCAAAAGCACCTCATCTTTTTTCTTTCCTATCACAGTAAACAGTGTTTTCTGGAGGTTTCTATCTTGTCCCTGGAGGTACAAAGGAAAGGGGAAACAGATCTGGAGTCTTCCGTAGGGTAGAAGTTAGAGATTGGGGTGAGAAGAAACCGTCTTCGGTGCAGAAAAATATAGGTTTATTTTTGTTCAAAGTGACTCAAAAACTAAATTCTTTAGGGGTGTTTTAAAAAAAATTTTTGGCAACATGAGACCCAATATATCCCAGGAAAATGAGCCTTACAAATTTACGCTTGTTTTATTCTAGAGTCTGTAACTCACCTGTCTGTTTAATGCGTTGTTGCTAAACGGTGTCCAGGCACTGAATCTTGTGTGGAAGCTCTCCCTTTCCAGGGTCTTCCTGGAAGAATCCCCAGCTGACATCTCCGCAGATCCTTTCCTTCCGGGCCTAGAAACTATAGGTTCATGTCAATAGATGTTTCTTTAAGCTCACCTAGAAACATCCAGGATATTGATATTGTCCTTATAGGAATTAAATAACTACAGCAGTTCATCTACATGTATGTCCATGGAAATCAGCCAGACAAATACACCCAGGAAGTCCCTGTAGCCCAGCCATCCTAATTTGTTCTGTCCTCACCAAATTGCACCCAAAAGTGAATCTAAACCAGAGTTGTCTTTCACTTTGCTGGAAAATGACTCAGAGACTGGAGTGATTGTGTCAACCTATGGAACTATGAAAAATGATGATTCCTGTTTCAAGCTACTAAATGTCAGGACGGGATGTTATCCAGCACAGACTGACAAAACCATGTGTTGGTGTGCATCCAGAGCTCGCAGGTACAGCTGGTGTGACATAAGTACTTCAAAAATGGTTTGGCATTGTTTCCTAAAGTTGAACATGTGCGTACACTTGACCCAACAGAAAAACATGAGCATGTGAAAGATATATCCATAACAATATTCACAGCTGCATCAGACAGCTCCAAACTGGGAAAAGCCCAAGGATCCATCTACAGTTGTCACATATTCATGGAACAGGATGCTATACATCAGTGAACAATCTGCTGCTACACACAAAAATATGTAGGACTCACACACATAAAACATTACACAAAACAAGCTGAAAACAAAGCAATACATTTTGTATGGTTTAATTTATGCAAAGTTCTATGCTGTAGTGTTAGAAGTTGGGATGGTGGTTACTTTCAGGGAGAGAAAGAGGGTAATGACAGGGAGGGACATGAGAGGTGATTCTGAGGTGCTGGTACTGATCTGGTGGTGGGAGCCCAGGTGAGTCATTTTGTCATTGAGTTCTATACTTATGATCTGCATATTTTTCTATATCTTCTTTCAACCAAGATGTTTTAAAAAAGATATCATTTACAATAATATGAAACATTATGAAGTACCTAAAGAAATCAAAGCTACAAACTTTATAAAGAAAATTATAAAACTTTACTGGAAAAACATTTTTAAAGACTAAAATAAAAGGAGAGATATGTTTTATTCATGAATTAGAGACTTAAAAGAATGAAAAGATTAATTCTTTTCAAGTTGATCTATAGATTCAATGCAATCTCAATTTAAAAAATCCCAAGAGCCCAGCTGGGCGTGGCTCAGGGGTTGAGCGTTGACCTAGAATCCAGGCGATCGCGGTTTGATTCCCGGTCAGGGCACATGCCCGGGTTGCGGGCTCAATCAGTGATTCTCTCATCATTGATGTTTCTGTCTCTCTCTCTCCCCCTCCTTTCCTCTCTCTGAAATCAATAAAGATAGATTAAAAAATAAATAAATAAAATAAAAATAAAAAATCCCAAGACATATTGTGGGGGGTGGGAGTGCGTATCTGAAAAGCTGATTCTAAAATATTTATGAGAGTTTAAAGGGCAAAAAATAGTCAAGACTGTTTGGAAGAACCAGGGAGGGAGATGTGTTTCTAGATATCAAGACTCACTATAAAGCTGGAGTAACAGGATGACATGGTATGAGTATGGAGACAGACATCTAAACAAGGGAACACTGGTTAGATAAATCAAAGAGGAAGAGATGAATTCTTCCACTTATAGAAAACAGAGTATCTGTTTAAAAAAAGAGAAAAGAAATAGGGACCCTTTCACACACACCACACACACACACACACAACTAACTGAAGGCTTTTTTATATATATAATCAATTACATATGGTTTGTGAATCCCCAGAAGACAAAAGTAGAACCAATGGATGATGTCAGAGAAACAGACTTTGGATCGATCTAAGTGAGAAAACAACCACTTCAGCAGCTTTAGCTGTCTCAGGAGGCTATGTCCAGTACTGCAGATACTAAAACACAAATTCTCTGACCACTTGTCAGTGAAAGTCTAGCTGGGATTCAAACATCAGAAATGTCTACGTTTCTAAGCAACCGTCTGTTGCTATAAATTCCAAGGAGGGTGAACAATGGGGCCTGGAATAGCTGAAAACACTCGACTGCAGAGCCGGAGACTTCGAGAAAACGACAAACATTTGCCTCTACTCTTACTACACTTTCATAAGATAGAAGCATATTTTGAAAACGAACATATTGGAAAGACATATCATATTAGCACAATTTTAGAAATATTACAAGGGCAGCATGACAGCTCCAAATTTGGATCCCTGCTCTCACCACCTCACCCCGAAAACTGAAGCTTTACAAGTAATTAGTCTCTGAGCCTCAGTTTCCTCATGTGTAAAACAAGACGGTGATGTATCTTGGTGAACTATAGTGTAATAATGTGTGGTTCAGAGAAAAACCTCATAGCAATGTGGAAACTAAATACCTACTTCTGAATCAACATTAAATCAAAACAAATCCTGAGTTTCGTAAGATGCCCAGCTGTTGTTATGCGAAATCCCTCCAAGAGGCGACATAAGGGATTTTTATTTAGCAAGTTCTCAAAATTATTATACTTCATGTTAAGGGATGACTAAATTACACAATGAACCAACCATTGCGGGTGTACACAACATCATATATAGATATAGATATTATAAATATCGATATGGATAGATAAATTATCACAGGATTATCTTTATTCTCTAACATGTCAATTTTGCTGACTCTTCAACTCAGGGAGAAATGGCATGCTGACAATCATTACTTCTTCAAATGAAATGATTTCTTTTCATAGTCAAGCATTTTCTATTTCTCCAAATAGTAGCTCCATAAGATATTTATAGATGTTTCCCAGAAAAACAGGATCCATGGTTCAGTTTGCTTGGGAAATGCTTGACTGAACAAAATTAAATATGTTTCTTTTTGTAGGATGTTTTAGAAACTTTAATATTTCCAAGAGGAGGAAATAGTATGTAGCATTTTTCGTGTTCATTATTATAAGAGCCTATCATAGTGTCTATTGGTTATCTAGTGTGTAACAAATCTAATGCTGTGTAACAAACAGTCCCAAAACTTACTGGCTTCAAAAAACAAACATTATTATCTCAGTTTCTGTCAGGAGTCAAGGCATGGCTCAGGGTCTTTCATGATCCAAGTGTCAGCGGGAGCTGAAGTTATCCCAAAGCCAGACTAGGGAATGATCTACTTCTAAGTTCATGAAAGTGGTTGTTGGCCAGATTCAGTTCTTTATGGGCAGCTGGAACAAGGACCTCAGTTCTTTGCTCACCTCCCATAGGGCCTCTCCATAGCTTAGCTCACAAAATGGCATCTGGCCAAGTTAGCAAGTGAAAGAGCCAAAGAGGGTAGGCAAGTTGGAAGCCAGAGTCTTTGTGTAACATAGTCTCAGAAGTGATATACCATCACTTTAAAAAAAGTCTTTATTGATTTCAGAGAGAGGAAGGGAGAGGGAGAGAGAGAGATAAAAACATCATTGATGAGAGAGTCATCGATTGGCTGCCTCCTGCACACCCCTGACTGGGGATCGAGCCTGCCACCCGGGCATGTGCCCTGACCAGGAATCGAACCTCGATCTCCTGGATCTTAGGTTGATGCTCAACCACTGAGCCACGCCTGGCTGGGCTATGCCATCACTTGTGATTAGTCAGAACAGGAGTCAACAAACATGGTCAGCAGGCCATCACTGCTGCCACTCATTTTTGTTTTAAAATAAAGTTTTACTGGAACACAGCTAATCATATAACTACAACAGCAGAACTGAGTGATTGGGAAAGAGACCATTGGCCTACAAAGCTAAAATTATTTACTACCTGGCCCTTTACAGAAAACTTTGGCACTCGTGCATTAGAAGCAGGTCCAGCCAATACTTGAGGGGAGGGATTCACAAGGGCATGGACACCAGAAAGTTGGGGTCATTGGGAGTCATTTTAGAAACTGCCTACCACATAGTGCCTGCCCACGAGTAGGCATTTGATGAGTATTTGGTGAGTAAATGAATAATTGTTCACATACTACCAATTTTCCAAATTCGAGGGCTGAAAGGCAAGTTAGTAGCTAAGAAAAAGCCAAATTCCTTCACTGATTATTAGGATTTGACAACTGTGTCACCACTGTGACAATTTATCAACTTACGTGATCTTAGTAATTTCCATCATTACGTTAAATGAGTTACATGGTACAGTGAGCTTAGGACTGACTTATTAGGTAGCTCTGACAGATTATTGTTTTATGACAGCGAATTGGAAGACAGGGAAGTATTTTAGGGCACTTACTTGAGATGAGAATTCACTCTGGGGCCAGAATACTGACTGGATTATGCCTACAATATGGCAGTCACCAGTATCTTCTAATACCTTTAGAAATAGGCACCTGGCGTTTCTTCCTTAAGAAACTTTTAGATTCTATGCATTCGAAAAAGTCTATTAGCCAGTCTTCCTCCTAAAACACAAAGAAGGAATAAACTACTGGGGGTGGAGAAAAAAAATTAATCCTTTAAATATGCCCCCCAAGAGGTAATCTGGTTCTAAAGGTGGCAGACAAGAAACAGAGTGAAAGAAAAGTGCATGTGATTAGTGAAAAAACAGAAATTAAAGACTATTCCAGTTAAATAAAATGTCCTATTCAGGGCATGTAAAAACATGACTTGTTTTGAACATAAGCTGGTATATAACTTTTACTAAATGCACACATTAATGAAAGTGATAGCATGTTTTGAGGAAATGTGTTACTGGATAGCCAAAAGTGCACATAATCAAATGCTGGATTTGCTCAGTTTAAAGCTTATGACAAGCAACTGTACTCTTTACATTCATTCAGGAAAAATAACCAGCGACGTTGCTCTAAAACATTCAAATTCCTCATCCTACTTTCTCTCCCTGAAATAATTGTTAGAGCATGATTTCTGAGGTTCCTGGGGTGCACGAATGTCAAGGTGGGCCTGGAAACAACTGCTGGATTGTGCTCCCTTTAATACAGATGATGCCCAGATATTCTGATACTTACGGCAAGATTTATTAATAAGCACAGCATACGTCCTTTTAAAAAGATAAATATACCTAAGTACCACAGTTTAATTACTTTTTCTATTCATCAAACCGCAGCCTATCAGCTCAGAGCTACACGCTCACAACCACGAACTGCATTCGCCGCAGAAGTTTCTCCTTCCCCACCTCCCAGGCAGGCCCAGGGCGCCCGCCCACGCTCCTGGAGAACCTGAGCAGCTCCACACTCCCCCAAAACACCGAAGCGGGGCGGGGAGAAATACAGTCCCTGCGCTGGGCCAGGGGTGAGTCGGGCTGTGACGCGCAAACTCACCTCCCGCAGGGTGCTCCTTTGGGATAGGGGTGGGGGCTCCCCTCCTCTCCCCGCCCCCACCCCACTTTCTACATTTTGGACTCCATGGCAGGAAAGAGGGTGACAACTGGCAGATGGAGGGAGTTTGATGGTGTCACTTCGGAGTCCTGTGAAAACCAGTGTCTCCCACGGTGGCCCCAAACTCGGCTTGATTCCGTCTCTTACCGGCGAGCGCTCCGGGGTGAGCGCTCCCGCCCAGTCCCGCGCCAGCCCGGCCCCCGGAGACGTTTCTCCGCAGCGCCTCCTGCTGGATAACGACGCGGCGGCTCAGGTTCTGCAGGGTTCCC